TGTAGCGTCAATCTTGTTGAGCAAACAACACTTCGGAGTTTAAGTAAACTTGGAGTCTATTAGACAGTTGGCCTTTTGTGCTCTTCTGAAATCTGGGGAACTTTGAGTCCTTCATCAAGAACAACTAGAAATGTTTGGCACTTGTTCAAATGTATAAAGTCCTGAATGATCCCCACCTTATCAAATCTTGAGTCCAGGATCAACATTTTGATTTGAAATAGCTCTCCAGAGCATTGCCTTCCTCAGTACCAAAATCAACCAGTGGAAAAGTTTACCTTCAGAAGTTGTGGGTACTCCATCCTGGTGGCTTTTAAAAAGAGACTGGTCAACCATCTGTCTGAAATGGTATAGGGTCATGATGGCAAACCTATGGCACGCATGCCACAGATGGCACGCAGAGCGATTTGTGCCAGCACACGAGCTGCAGGCAAACTTACCTCACTGCACATGCGTGCGCCTCCCAGCTGATTTTCGGCCTGTTTGAGGCCTTTTTCGGCCTCCCAAGCTTGAGGAAAGCCTCTAAAGCCTGAAAAATAGGCCCATTTCATCACTTCCTGTATTTCCGGAAATACCAGAAGTGATGAAACGGGCCTATTTTTCAGGCTGCAGAGGCTGTCTTCAAGCCTGGGAGGCCGAAAAAGGCCTCAAACCAGCTGAAAATCAGCTGAGAGGCACAGTGCAGGTAAGGGGGCAGGGAATTGTGCGCACATGCACAGGGGGTGTGGGGGGCGCAAGCATTGCCTTCTGGGTGCTGGCACGTGAGTGCTCGTGCACAAGCGTGCACACAATTTTTGGCACAGGAGCCAAAAAGGTTTGCCACCACTGGTATAGGGTCTCCTGTTCGAGCAAGGGGTTGGACTAGAAGACCTCTAAGCAAGGGTGGGATTCTACCAGTTCCCACCTATTCTGTAGAACCGGTTGTTAACATTCTAAGCAGTTTGGAGAACCGGTTGTTAGAAGAAATTACTGGCCTAATCCTGTAAGGAAGGCAGGAAGGAAACATTCTGGTGTTGCTTACAGAAATTTGCCTCTCCATTAACCCTTATTACATTTTTGGCAGGACTAGACTTCCTGTCTCAGGAACTTCTCTGGAGTTTTTTCCCCCTCCTTTGCTGGTACTTTGCTGGTGTGGAGTGACCATTCAAAGTTACAATGGCACTGAAAAAAGTGACTAATGACCGTTTTTCACACTTACGACTGTTGCAGCATCCTCACAGTCATGAGAGGCCAGGTGAGGAGATGTGTGCCTCGATGTGAGTGATATTGAGTTGGCCACACCCAGCCAGTCACATGACTACCAAGCCATGCCCACCACCTAAGCCATGCCCACACAACCGGTTGTTAAAAATTTTGAATCCCACCCCTGCCTCTGAGGTTCCTTCCCACTCTATTATTCTATGCAGGGGTGGGATTCTACCGGTTCGGACCGGTTCAGGCAAACCCCTTGCTCCAATGATCAGCTGGCTCTGAACCAGTTCCCTTTGGTGAGCATGTGGGCCTGCCCACATGCCTGCCTGCCCCTGCTCTTTCCTGTGCTTTTTGCCTTTTTGTTAGAGCACAGCTAATTCGCGTGGCAGAGTAGTTTGCCGCGCCTCAGCTGTTTTCTTCAGATGCAGTTGAAGGGAAGTATTACCTTGGTGAACGCGGAGCATACTCGCAGAGCGCATGTTTGGTGCACACGCAAAGCACACATGCGCTCGCAAAGCACACACTCAACAAACCGGTTATTATACCAATTAAATCACACCCCTGCTTCTATGTTCTAAAACTGGAACATAGGACCTTCTCCAAATAAAGCAGAAGACACAACTGAACAGTGGACTCACAAACACTTGTGCAATACTGTATAAATTATCCCAGATCCTGGTGATTAGAAAGCCTCATGCTTCTCTGTTTTCTGAGCCTTTAAGAAGTAACAACTAATATGGTAAATTGTAATAAACATGACATTAATGCTTGAAAATAAGATTATTTTCAATGATATATTATAAATCTGTAATAAATCTGAAAAATAATATTATAAGGTAGTAAAAGAAATGACATGTGGAACCTGATAGATTAGAACAAAACAAAAAAATAGGATAGTGAGATATAGTAATAGATAAAAGTAATTATAGCGTTACTAGAATTGGACAATAGGTTAAATGTTTAAATATGGTTTGCTTTAGTATAAATGGGATTAGGAAGGGATTTTGCTTAAAGTGCAATGGTGGCAAAATTAAGAATTAAAAGGGGATAAATAATTGAAATATAAATTAAACATGGAGTAATGAATGACTATGTGAATTATACAAATTGTTAAATATTGCAGATATGATGAGTAATACAGAATTTATAACAAAAGAAGGGGTGTTAAGAATGTAGAGATTGACACAAAACAGTATATGGGAATATTGAAGGATTAAAATTAAGATTGATAAAACATATTAATATAAAATTGCATAAGAAAGTCAACAATATTAATGTAAAATTATTGTCATATTTGTTTTTAAAATGTAAAACACTTTGGGACCACACTATTCACACAATGAGTTGTTTGTAACAATTAAAAATAATAAAAATTGTATTTTTTAAAAAAGAAGGGAGAACTCTTTCCCGTCTTACATACTTTTCTCTACTCAAAAAGAGTGGGAAAAAATGTGTTTCTAGACCTTATGATAGAGGTTGATCTCCCGTATGTCTTCGTTTCTTTTAGATAACGGCAATTCTGACTCAATAAGGAATGACTCTGAGGGGACTGTCGCATCTGAGAGTGAGGTCCGTTTCTATGTTTTGAAGGGGTCGAAATAATCCAATATTTTAATGATGGGGGTATGAAATCACTGAACGAGATTGGAAAATTGGGCCTCCTGGGATTTTGCTGGCCTACAATTCCAAACAACCTTTCCTATTGGCATTGGGAGTGGCTGAGAAGAGGACAGGTAGTCCTCAACTTACAGTCATTCATTTAGTGACCGCTTGAAGTTACAATAGCACTCCCAAAGGGGTTTTTTCCAGAGGCAACTGAACTTTCGTTTCTCATTCTAGAAGCTTCTTCAGCTTCTTGGATGAGCTGAAGAAGCTTCTTGGATGAGCAGCGAAACGTCTTCAAAGAAAAACAAAGTCCAGTTGCCTCTGGAAAAAACACCTTTGGGACAGCCATGACCTGGATGACTGAGAATCTCCATAGACATTTATAATAGCACTATAAAAAGTAATTTATGATTGTGTTTTTCATTCATAACTAAATTTGCAGATGATACAACAATGGTGGGACTCATCTCCAGGGGGGATGAGTCTGCCTACCGAGATGAGGTGGACCGGTTGCTTTCGTGGTGTGGAGACAATAACTTGGTCCTCAACACCAATAAAACCAAGGAGCTTATAGTGGACTATAGAAGGAACAGATCAGAAATCCAGCCCTTACTTACCAATGGAGACTGAGTGGAGCAAGTGGCCAGTTTTAAGTTTCTGGATGTTACCATAAAAGAGGACCTGACCTGGGGTGCTCACATTGCAGCCCTGGTCAAAAGGGCCCAGCAGAGATTATACTACCTGAGACTTTTCAGAAAACAACTGAATGAAAAACTGCTGGTGACCTTCTACCGCTGCACCATAGAGAGTATCTTAACTTACTGCACCTGTGTATGGTTTGCCAATTGCACAGTGGCAGATAGGACAGCGCTCCAGAGGGTTAGCGTCATTGCCCAGAGGATCTTTGGTTGTCCTCTCCCCTCTTTGGAAGAGCTTTATAGCTCCTGCTGCCTTAAGAAAGTTCAAAACATTCTCATAGATCCATCTCATCCTGGGAACCCTTTTTTGAACTATTACCATCTGGCAGACAGTACAGAGTAATAAAAATAATAAAAAATAATAATAAAAATAATAATAAAAACAAGGACAAATAGGCTGAAAAACAGCTTCTATCCCAGGGCAGTAGCTCTGTTGAATTCTGCTGTATTGGTGCAGTGTTGCGGGTTTTCGGTTCAATGTGTGGAGGGTGAAGGATGTGTGTTTGTGTTTATTTTCATGGTCATGATGTGCACTGAAGATGGTGTTTGATTTCGTTGTACGAGGTGCAATGACAATAAACTAAACTAAACAGCATCCCCATGGTCATGTCATCAAAATTCAATTCATGCTTGGCAACTGGCATGTACTTATGACAGTTGCATTGCCCCAGAGTCCTGTGAATCCCCTTTTGCAAACTTCTGACAAGCAAAGTCAATGGGGAAGCCAGATTTCACTTAACAGCCGTGTTGCTAACTTTACATCTCCACTGATTCGCTTAATAATTGTGGCAAGAAAGGTCGTAAAATGGGGGCAAAAGTCATTTAACAACAGTGTTATTTAGCAATGGACATTTTGGTCTTAAGTCAAGGACTACCTGTACTGTAGTTCAGGATCTTCTAGAGATCTTCAGCCCCCTCACTAGGGGTCTGAGAATTTTGTAGATGCTCATTAGGTTTGTTATTTAATAAACCTAATCTTTAAATTTGGCAATTTTTCTGGGCTTCAACTCATGCTGGCTGGGGACCTCTGGAGATTGAAGTCAACAAGTCTTTCCTAAGTGACACCTGATTTAAACCACAATAAGAACAGCTTGTCTTATGGTTGCATCTAAAAAGCGTATCTACTTATGGGAATATAACCAGACCTGACTTGACTGGTTTCGAGTGTGAAAAACTGAGCCGTATTTTCAGCGTAAATGGAAAAGAGGACAGATCCCCTAAATTACATGACGTTTTTCTTCATGCATCTTAAACCTGTCTGGATCAATTTCTCTGATTTATAAAGATGGTTGATCCTCATGAAGACAAAGCCCTCGCAGGAGGTTCGGTAAAAGAAGACTACTGCTATGTGACTGAGAAAATTCAGAATTTGCAGAAGAAACGGAAGAGGGGACATGATACATCAATAAAAGGTTTGAAATTCTTCCTTTCCAACTATTTCAGATTTTGCACCTCAAAATGTCATACATTGCCCTGGTTTGCACATAAGAGAATCCAAAATTATACTCAGTGATTAAGGTGCTGGCTCAGTTGATCGGCTGGGTCTCCTTTTGTTGCCTTGCACAGGAGAATGGAGCTGGAAAGCAGGTTAGTGGGATGGGGAGGGAATGGGGGTTTCGCAGTAACCTTCCCCCAGGAGTGGGGAGGGAATGGAGATTTTGCAGTATCCTTCCCCTGCCACGCCCACCAAGCCACGTCCACAGAAGCAGTAGTAAAAAAATTTGAATCCCACCACTGGGTCAGATGCCTTGCTCCACTTTCTTCTTCTCTGCTGCCTGTTTTATTTTCGCAGCCCGAGCTTCATCAGGGCTGAACAAGAAAAAACAACTATCAATATTTTCCATCCAGATTAATCAGAGCTTGTCGGAAAGCACAGTGGCAGCTTGTCAAACATGCCCTGTTTTTAAACCCTGGCGACCACCATATCTCTCTATTAGTTGGTCAGCTCTGCTCTCTTCTATTTTTTTGACTGGGCCAACAGAGCAAAGGGAGGCGTTGGAGATGCGAAATGTTTAAATTGTTAGCAGTCCAGAGATGTTTTGTGCCCAGCCTTATCAATGTCCTGCTCAGTCACACCTGTAGGAAATACCTGTACAACATTGTCCATTGTTAGCAGCTTACCACTTCTGTAGGCCCTCGTTTGAAAAACAAACACCATTTGTGTGGAAATGCGCTTTTTTTTTTTTTTTTGCAAAGTCAATAATTCTTTCAGGAAACCTGGGCGTGTTTTGTCAATCAAGGTACCTTTAAAAAGGCTAAACAAACAAGCTGGACTGTTTACCTACCACACTTACTCAAGCTGAAATTTTTTCCTCTCTCTTTCTCTCCAAGCTGGGGGTTGGATCCCCATTTAAAGAAAAGCCCACCCACCCTGCTAAAACATTGGAGTCTCTGCTCCCTGTCTTATCGCAGCACAATTGTATAACTTGGTTAAATATTTATGCAGCATGGAATCCAGGATGGAAGGAACAACAGACCTCAAGGGTGGTCATAGGGTACAAATAAGCAATCAAATCATACTAGGAAACAGTCAATAGAAATCGTAAGGATACAAGCGACAAAGTTACCGTCATAGTGGGAGGGGATGGGTGAAAGGAAAGATGGGAGGATTAATAGTAATAGTGATAGTAATGCAGACTTAGTAAATAGTTTGACAGTGTTGAGGGAATTATTTGTTTAGCAGAGCGATGGCATTCAGGGAAAAACTGTCTTTGTGTCTAGAATAGAATAGAACAGAATACTTTATTGGCCAAGTGTGGTTGGACACACAAGGAATTTGTCTTGGTGCAAATGCTCTTAGTATACATAAAAGAAAAGATATATTCATCAAGAATCATAAGGTACAACACTCAGTGATAGTCATAGGGTACAATAAGCAATCAAATCATACTAGAAAACAGTCAATATAAATCGTAAGGATACAAGCGACAAAGTTACAGTCATACAGTCACAAGTGGGAGGGGATGGACGATAAGGAGTGATGAGAAGATTAACAGTAATAGTAGTGCAGACTTTGTAATAGTTGAACAGGGTTGAGGGAATTATTTGTTTAGCAGAGTGATGGCTTTCAGGAAAAAAATGTCCTTGTGTCTAATTGTTCTGGTGTGCAGTTCTCTATAGCGTCATTTGAGGGAAGGAGTTGAAACAGCTTATGTCCAGGATGTGAGGGATCTGTAAATATTTTCACAGCCCTCTTTTTGACTCGTGCAGTATACAGATCCTCAGTTGAAGGCAGGTTGGTAGCAATTGTTTTTTCTGCAGTCCTAATTACTCTCTGAAGTCTGTGTCTGTCTTATTGGGTTGCAGAACCAAACCAGACAGTTATAGAGGTGCAGATGACAGACTCAATAATTCCTCTGTAGAACTGGATCAGCAGCTCCTTGGGCAGTTTAGCTTTCTAGTTGTTCTGATATGCCAGTGCTCTATAGCATCATTTTGAGGGAAGGAGTTGAAACAGTTTATGTCTGGGATGTGAGGGGTCTGTAAATATTTTCACAGCCCTCTTTTTGACTCGTGCAGTATACAGGTCCTCAATGACCTTATATAAGTCTAAGTGCTATTGCTATGACTATTGTATATTAGTGATTTTCAGAGAGAAAATTACAGTCCCAGAATGCACTCTGCGTAATCCTCCATCCCTTCTATTTCTTCTTTAACAGTCTACAAGAAACCAGTTCAAGGAGGAGAAAGTGATGCAGCCACCCACCTCCTGCCTGGCCCAAAAGACACGAAGGAAATGGCAAACCACAGTCCTGCTTTCAGACATGAAGAGCACAAGGAGACATAGCTGAAAACCATTCTCACTTGGACCTGCTTGGTAGCCTAAGCCGCAGTTAAACTTTCCGGGTTTTTATCAGGAATCCTACAACAGACAAATAATAATAATTCTTGGTATTTTAGTTGCTCAGGTTAAACAGACTTCCAAGTTGCACAAACTTACATACGTAATTTGTCAGGTATTGTAACTGCAATTGTGAGAAATGAGACATCCCAGATAGACCAAGCATGTAGAAGAATTTAAAAATCACTTCTCTGATTATACTGGTGATAAGTGTACTGTCAGGGTTCCGACGGATGCCCTAATCAATTCATGAGCCTTGAGCCAAGTTTCAAAGAAATCCAATTATTTATTAGGAGCAACACATCGCCACTTTTCCCAAGTGCAGTCGGCTCTGCCCTATGTAATTTATGGACCACTGGTGACCCTGTTTCCCTCCTCCTCCCAGCGTGTGTTATAAATCACATTCTCCAACAGAGCACTTTCCCGGGCTAGAGAAAACGCACCTCTCCGGCTGGCTCTGGTAACCTGGGATACAATCTGGAGCAAGGCACGCGTGGAATGTGCTTCTGGACATAGCAACCAAACTGCTCCATCAGATCTCCCCCCGCCCCTCCTTCTTATGGCAACTCGAGACCAAGCCAGGAATGCTTTACCAGTTGACAAGTACAGGTAGTCCTTGACTTACGACCAGAGTTGAGCCCCAAATTTCTGTTGCTGACATTTGTTAAGTGAGTTTTGCCCCCTTTCACAACCTCCCTTGCCACCGTGGCTAAGTGAATCACTGCAGTTGTCAAGTTGGTAACACATTTGATAAGTGAAACCTGGCCTCCCCATTGACTTTGCTTGTCAGAAGATCACAAAAGGGGATCCCATGACCCTGGGACACTGCAACCGTCATAAATATGAGTCAGTTGCCAAGCGTCTGAATTTTGACCCTGGGAATGCAGCAACGGTCATAAGTGTGAAAAACGGTCATAAGTCACTTTTATCAGTGCTGTTGTATAGCAGAAACAGAATAGCAGAGTTGGAAGGGACCTTGGAGGTCCTCTAGTCTAACCCCCTGCTCAAGCAGGAAGCCCTATGCCGTTTCAGACAAATAGTTGTTCAATCTCTTCTTAAAACTTGTAACTTCGAACAGACCCTGAATGAATAGTTGTAAGTCAAGGACTACCTGTGTAATCCTGCTGATCTAGTACTTTCTTCACAGTGTGCATGGCAGGAAAGACATTGTACATGAATAGAAAAAGAAATGAATTTGATGTGTTTAGCGCCCTGCTGCCAAAACTACGTAAAACATGCCAAGTGTTTGTTCTCCAATGCTGTGTTGATTACATTTCTGCATAATCTGAACTGATACATTCTGATTGTTTTGCAAAATAAATTGCTGCAATTCTATACCTAAGAAGAAAGGCTAATCGTACTCGTAATAGGCATTTCATGTAGGAATTAACAGACCGCCAGGGTTAATTTTGACAAGCAATGAAAGCATTGATCAGGGATCTCCATCTAAATACTATGTTCTTCAGCCGTGTTGGCTCAGGAATTCTGGGAATTGAAGTCCACAGGTCCTCAAAGGACCATCCTTGCTCGCCTTGGGCTAAAGCACAGGTGACAAACTCGTGGCGTCACGGTGCCATCATGTGAAGTATTGCGACATCTTTTTCTCTTCGCGGAGCTGGGGTGGGCGTGGCCTGGGCGTGAGGCATTCAGCCCGTGGGCTGCCATTTTGACACCCCTGGTAAAGGAACATTTGGGGTCACCTCAGGTAAGTACTAGTCAATTTTCCCAACAACGTACAAGACATTAGAACAGGGGTGTCAGATTCAAGGCCTGGGGACCAGATCTGGCCCATGGGATGCTTAGATCTGGCCCACGGGGCCACCCTGGAAATAGCAAACGACCGCAGCCCTCCCAAGCTCCGTTTTTGCTGGAAGAGGGTTGCAGGAAGCCGTTACAGCCAAAAATGGAGCTCAGGAGCCCATTTTCACTGGCAGAGCATTCGGGCCGCCACAGGCACCACTCCCCGGACACGAATGATCTCATGCTGGTGTAGAAAGTTAGCACCCACCAAGGGGTGGGATTCAAAATTTTTAACAACCGGTTCTGAGGGCATGGCTTAGGTGGTGGGCATGGCTTGGTGGTCATGTGACTGGGTGGACGTGGCTTGGTGGTCATGTGACTGGCTGGGTGTGGCCAACTCAATATCACTCACATCGAGGCACACATCTCCTCACCTGGCCTCTCATGACTGTGGGGATGCTGCAACAGTCGTAAGTGTGAAAAATGGTCATAAGTCACTTTTTTCAGTACCATTGTAACTTTGAATGGTCACTCCACACAAGCAAAGTACCAGCAAAGGAGGGGGGAAAAAAACTCCAGAGAAGTTCCTGAGACAGGAAGTCGAGTCCTGCCAAGAATGTAACAAGGGTTAATGGAGAGGCAGTTTCAATTAGGTTGTTTCAACTTAACACTGCCTTTCCACAAATATCTCTTGACATTTCATTTACTAAATTAACTTTTCCTTGGTAGGGTTTATCAAGGCTTATTATCCTTATTGAAGATATGTTAACAATCTGTTTTTCTTTCACAATCGTGTCCAATTTCAAGTAAGCAATTATTTACTAACATAGATATTATTTCCTTGTCTGTACCTCAATGTTTTTGCACTCCTACAAAACCTTGCTCTCATTATCTTTCTTCGTTGTCTGTGATTTCAAGTCTTTATTCTTTATTGTAATCAAATGTGTCCTGTTTTTTTCCTCTATGTAATAAAATGTCCTATTTTAGTGCAAACGTTAACATTTCTTCTCTGGTCTTATTTTAAGGAATGCCTTTCAGCTCCTTCATTCAAATCATGCTGATGTGCCTCTAGTTTGGCAATTATATTCCCAAGGGAAGTGTCATCCCAAAGTTTGATTAACTCTACTATACAGTTTTCTGGTAACAAAAGTAATAACAGTTCCCTGATTAATCATCAGAAAGGGTCACACTGTTTTGGCTTTCATGTCTTCAATTAAATTTTTACTCCCTGATCATTTCAGATTTGCAAAGTTTCTGAGCATTAAAACATTATTGCTGATACCAGAACATGCTTGCCTTGTCACGGCTGGCCCTGATGCTCTTTCCTGAAACACAGTTTTGAATATTGCATCCAGTTTTGATCACCACTTTACAAAAAAGATGTTGAGACTTTGGAAAAAGTGCAAATAAGAACAATTAAAATGATTAATGCCTGGAGACAAAGACATATAAAGAACAGTTGCAGGAATTGGGTATGGCCAGTCTAGAGAAATGAAGGAAGAGGGAAGACATGATAGGAGTATTCCAATATTTGAGGGGTTCTCTTCCACAGAGAAGAAGGGGTCAACTTATTTTCCAAAGCACCAGAAGGCAAGACAAGAAACAATAGATGGAAACTAATCAAGGAAAGAAGCAACCTGGAATTAAGGAGAAACTTCCTAACAGTGAGGACATTTAACCAGTGGAACTTCAGAAGCTATGGGTGCTTCATCACTGGAGGTTTTTAAGAAAAGATTGGACAACCACCTATAGGTTCTCCTGCTTCAGCAGAGGGTTGGACTAGAAGACCTCCAGGGTCCCTTCCAGCTCTAATCTGATTGACTGAATTAAGTCGCATTTCAGATTTATTTCAGATTTCAATCACCTACAAGTAAGTAGACCTTGATTTACTACTATTTGTTTAGTGAGTGTTTGAAGTTACAATGACACTGAAAAAAGTGACTTACAATCAGTCCTTGCCAGTTACAGTATTTATAGTGCCTGTTGTATGTGGGTTTTTAGATGTTGATTGGGGTGTGTTAATGGCTGGCTTTTAAGTCATTGGCTATCATTCCATTCTTCCATCCTTCCGAGGTCCGTAAAATGAGGACCCAGCTTGTTGGGGGCAATATGCTGATTCTGTAAACCGCTTAGAGAAGCCTGTAAAGCATTCGTGATTTAAATGGGGGTTGTAGGAAGTTAGCACCCAACTCTCTCCTCGAAAAATGAAATATCCTAGGAAATATTTAAAAGGCAGAATATTTCCCCTAAAAAGAGTAGAAACTCAGAAGCAGAAACTCAGCCCCCACCCCTTGCTAATGGGCCATTACTCTGGCCTAGGCCAGTCTATTTTACATGACAAAGATGTCCAGGTAGAGGTATAAGAGGAATTGCCCAAAGCCCTTTCATTACATTATCATCCAGCAAGGCTCAACCAAGCCTGGGACTCAGGACAGCCTAGAGTGGCCCCTGCATGGCCCCATGGGAGTCTGACAACCAATCAGAACACAAGTTCACATTCAAATCCCAACAGAGGGCATAAAACCCAGACACACTCAACATATCAGCCTTTCCTTCTTTTCCTTCATCTTGAAGCATGTGATCGTCCTTTTCACTTTGGAGTTCCAAGCCATGTGGTCCTGTCCAGTGGTCCCCAACCTTTTTTGTACCACGGACCGGTACAATCCACGGACCGATCCACAGACCGGTACCGGCATCAGCATGCACGACCAAGGCAAGGCGAGCCGAGCGACCAGCCAGCCAGCCATCCACCGCTTCTCCCCGCCACCTTCAACTCCTCCTTTGTACCTTCTCACGGTCGATGGGCTTTTCGGGCTCTTTCTTAATCTCCTCCTGAGTAACGCGAGACTCCACTGTCATCAGGACGGCTCTTCATTGGAAGCCGCCCCCACCCTCTTCGACGAAACTAAGGCGCAAGGATTCCTTCAGCACTCAAACGCTGCTTTCCAACCGACGACCGACAAGCTCACCCGGAAGCACTTTCTCAAGCGCCGTCGAAACAAGATGGCGGCGCCCAAGCAAAATAGGCGGCCCGGTACAAAATGATCCACGGACCGGTACCGGTCTGGGGCCCGGTGGTTGGGGACCACCGGTCCTGTCTACCATTAAACCATCTTTCCAAGCAGCCGCCATGTTTCAGTGTCTTTCTTCCCCACTTGGAACTGAACCCAGAAGAATAATTCTTCCAAAAGGACAACTGCCAGAATCCTGACAGAGAAAAGTATATAAGTCTAAGTGCTATTGCTATTGTTTGTGCTGCCCAGCCCTCACCTTCTAAGTACTTGATAGGCTGGTGATAAATCAGAACTCCTGTTGACTGACTAGGGGCCTCTATCCCAGGGGCCTCAATTACTTCCCTGGCTGTTTTTGTGCCTGCTCGTCCAACAGTCTTAGTAGCTGCCAAATTGAACTTGTCGGATAGTCAGATGTAGAGGAAATGTGGCTGACCTCTTCCCAAAGGCTTTGGGGTCTTGTAGTAAAAGAGTTCTGACTACCTATCAGTTATTGGTGGTGTCTTTTGCCCTGTGTGTCTCATTGGGGGGAGGTGGCATAATTATCCAATCTTGGATGATCCCTAGAAAGCTAAGCAGAATCGAATATGGTTTGGAGACCACCAGGCAATCCTATTATTCCATCCTGGAAGCAGACAGTGCCAAACTGCTTCTGAATGGTTGCCAAGAAAACAGCATGACATGTCCAAATCATTACAGAACCCCAGGAACATATTACTGTTGTCCGAGAAATCTTATTTTGGCACTCTGTTTAATTCATCCCTTAGGCCAGGGGTCCCCAATCACCGGTCCGCGGATCGGTACCGGTCCGTGGAACAAGTCCTACCGGGCCGCTGGCTTGCTGGGCGCCGCCATCTTGTTTTGATGAAAAAGTGCTTCCGGTGAGCTTTTCCGGGTAGAAAGCTCACCGGAAGCACTTTTTCATCAAAAAAAGATGGCGGTGCCCAGCGCTTCCGGTGAGCTTTTCCGGGTAGAAAGCTCACCGGAAGCACTTTTTCATCAAAAAAAGATGGCGGCGCCCAGCTGATGTCGGTACC